AATTGAAGAAAATAACATCAAGAATTACAGTCATAATTGTAAGAAATATCAAGCTCTTTAATAGATGTTATGCTTAAACAGCCAAAAAATAACTGAATATATTATAAAAATAAAAATTATACAACATTAATTATTCATCGACTAATCCTGAACATACTTGGACATCACCGCCAAAGAATACAAGAAGATCGTGTGTTGGCTGCAACTTTGGTGGTGTATAAAGTACATCGTTGCATCGGCCTGGAATGCCCGGTATATTTTTCCATTTCCAGATTTTCGACCCCATCGGTTATTATCTATAAAAAGAGATTAATTACACAGAAACGAATTATTAATATACGTTTTTTCAAAAATGAATTATTGTAATATCAATTTGAAAATTGAAACGGGCGAGTGAAAATGTTATTATAAATCGTACGAACTCTATGAATGTTATAATGTCGTACGAACAAATTGCAGGCAAACTGCAGATGACTGCAGAACTACAAGGTCTGACGTCTGTTTTGATTGAACTCTTGCACTTTCTGCGCTTAAAGTAGTAGAGGTCTGTTCTTTATAGCTGAACTGGCTGCACTAGTTCAGAGCTTATCTTTCTCTTTCCAATGGGGAGAGAAAAAGATAAACTCTGAACTAGTGCAACTGAAATAAACATATTTTTGCATTTTTTAATCATTTTTTTAATTACATTTTATATATTTTGACATTTCTCCTTACTATTTTTTTTTTTTGAGCGCGAGTACATTTGCTCCATTTTAAAGGGAAAGTGCAGAGAGTGCAGCTAAGTGACATTTCGCGGAGGCGGCGTGTTTCTCGAACACAATATTCAATATTTCGTCAGTAGATACTCGGCATATCATCCGATTTTGACGAGATATTTCGCAATGTGATGTCCGTGAAAATATCTCTGGATAGCTATATTTCACGATATGTCGCGGTAATTTTTAAAAATTAATCTAAAAACATCAAATTTTATATATATATACAAGATAACTAGATAATAGCGTTAACATAAAATAGCGTCAATACCCGATAACAGCGTTCGTGGTTATCGGGCTAAATAATACATAGTAATCAGGCATGAGACCGGTGATGCATTTATCGCGATGCGCAATTACGACGATGCGCTTTCCAAAACAGAGTTTCGTCATGGGCAAGGTTAAACTACGATTACGTAAGATCGTCAAGGACGAATGCGGAGGCGTTCGCGAAAGAGCGTTTAGGAATAGATTCCTTCTCTTTCCGCTCGATGTCACATTTCGTGGAATGATAAAGAGCTTACCACAAAAAAGTTTTAGATTACGCAAAGTCATGCCCGCCTGCGGCTTAATCTTAATTCGCCGATTAACGTGATTTCAGTGATGAAACACGTTACGTCGCATCGCACAATGCAACAAGAATCGGAGTCCAACAGGACAACATGGAATCCGTTCGATATATTTCAATATGACACGTGTTGCAATTACGCGGTGATCGTGCTGAATTGTCCCATATATTGGAAGCACGAGATTATGCTCCCATTCTGGCAGAAAGGTATTTCAATTGAAAATACGCACTATATATATTTTGCGAAACAATTTCTCAATTTTTTCAATAATAATTCATAAATAATTTACGTAGCTAATTTATATGTGATTATTTTACGACTAGCTCAAATCACGGTCACCGTCGACGGCGGAACGCACAGATGGCTGAAGTATTTGGAGGAGCATGGGATAGACATATTAAGCGATGAGCACAGGCAGTACATACCTAATCTCATTACAGGAGATATGGATAGCTGTTCATCGAGTGTGATCGAAAAATTGGAAAATATAGGATCTCTCGTTATTAAAACACCTGATCAGAATCATACGGATTATACTAAAGCCTTGTTGCAAGTTGCGCAGAATGCCAAGATGAGAAATATAAATGTAATCCTTAAGATTTGTTTTTGCTCCTTTAAAATTAATATTATATATATGATAAAGCGAACAATATTGTTGGCAGTTAGGTGAAATATACGTGCTTGCAGAAACATCAGGCAGATTTGACCATATCATTGGCAATATTAATACATTGTACAAAAGTGACAAGCTTGTGGGAAATATACAGGTGATGGATATTCTATATATTCTATTAGGTTGAACGGAAAGTTCGTTCCGTTTTTTGCTAACAAATGAAGACCGAAAAAACGGCACGAACTTTCTGTTCAACCCAATATTTAATAGACAAGTTCAAAAGAAAGATTGTAGTCTTTTTGTATTGAATATCTTTATCAAAATAATTTTTTTACAGGTAATACAAATTGCAAGCAATTCTCTAACATGGTTATTAAAACCTGGTTTGCACAATATATGTATACCAGAGATCTTAGTACAACAACAATCCTGGTGTGGTTTGATACCATTTGGATGTCCGGCTAATTGTATATCAACATCTGGATTGAAATGGGATTTAAGTATGTTTTATATTCTTCATCTATATAAACACGAATAATATATAAGTCATTTATTGTATCAAAGTTTAATGTGACATATTTGAGTAATTTTTCTAATTCTATTTGCATTTCTTATGCTTCAGATAATACAACTATGAAATTCGGCGATTTAGTTAGTACTTCGAATACATATGATAATTCTGAAGTGACTGTAAATACGGATACAACGGTAATTTGGACCATGGGGATAGAACCTTTCATGGAGGCTATAAATAACGAAGCAATTACTCCATCAATAGATAACAAGTAAATAAATATTTCATATTATCAAGCATACGACTGATTAAGTCAGAAATGCTCAACATTACTGCTATCTAAGGTACTCAATAATATTTTTTATTCAAATAACAGTAAATTAATTTGCCTGAAATTGACTTAGAATAGTGCAAATTTTAAATTCGATTTAGGAAATTCAATTTGGAATCATTTGCTAACTGATTGACAGATATCTATCATGAGATACTTGAGATATATGTAATTGTTACAATAATATGTTTTAATCATAGGATGAATTATTTTCGTCTACTCTATATAAGTTTTGTTTGAATAGAGTTATAATCCCTATTCTACATGAGAGAAATTGTTCATTCAAAAACATAAATTATATATAGTATTATCTAAATGGAATATCATATTTTTATTAATTGCAAATTTACAGATATTTTTTATAGTCCTTTTACAATTTACATTAAAATAGTAGAAAAATATAAGTAAAATATATTTTTATTTGTTAACAGATTGTTAAAAGATATATCAAATTGATATAATTGCGTAATAATATCAGATACTATATTATCAGGTCACTTGTTTATTAAATCTTGAATGTATAGGTTGAATATATATATAGATATGTTAAAACATCTAATAATACTGCTGCAAGATGCGAAAGTTTAACAATGAAATAAATTTTATAGTAGTCACTTTTTCATGTACATGCATATGTACCTATGCACTTGTATACATTCCTATTAAGGCATTCTTCCTTAGATTTTAATAGAAGAAATAGTTAAGGAGAATACAAAATTTATAGTTTTATAATGCTGACTTCTCTCTCTCTCCTATTTTGTTTACAAATGTGAAACCAAAGCTATGACAAACTATATATATATATATAATTTTGAGTATCACGTCAAATGGTTTTATTCCGAATATTTCTAGGATAATATTTAACGCATCATGTTTATTACAAGAATATATTTGGCAACAAGTGTGTCAAATCGAAATAGTATCAGACACGCGGTGTCTGCCGCCCATATTCGCGATAGTATGCGATGCATGCATGTATGTCGTATGTATGTATGTAGTAGCAAGTCGCTACCGCCATTGGAGCTAGAACCGAAGCGCGTAGTTTGACAGCGGCGGCGATCAGCTGTTGCGAATGTTTACGTTCGCGAGTATTGGCTGACGAGGGAGAATCGGCGCATGGTGGTGGGTCGCGGCTACCATCCAGTCCCTTTCAGTCCGGAGCATGGGATAGACATATTAAGCGATGAGCACAGGCAGTACATACCTAATCTCATTACAGGAGATATGGATAGCTGTTCATCGAGTGTGATCGAAAAATTGGAAAATATAGGATCTCTCGTTATTAAAACACCTGATCAGAATCATACGGATTATACTAAAGCCTTGTTGCAAGTTGCGCAGAATGCCAAGATGAGAAATATAAATGTAATCCTTAAGATTTGTTTTTGCTCCTTTAAAATTAATATTATATATATGATAAAGCGAACAATATTGTTGGCAGTTAGGTGAAATATACGTGCTTGCAGAAACATCAGGCAGATTTGACCATATCATTGGCAATATTAATACATTGTACAAAAGTGACAAGCTTGTGGGAAATATACAGGTGATGGATATTCTATATATTCTATTAGGTTGAACGGAAAGTTCGTTCCGTTTTTTGCTAACAAATGAAGACCGAAAAAACGGCACGAACTTTCTGTTCAACCCAATATTTAATAGACAAGTTCAAAAGAAAGATTGTAGTCTTTTTGTATTGAATATCTTTATCAAAATAATTTTTTTACAGGTAATACAAATTGCAAGCAATTCTCTAACATGGTTATTAAAACCTGGTTTGCACAATATATGTATACCAGAGATCTTAGTACAACAACAATCCTGGTGTGGTTTGATACCATTTGGATGTCCGGCTAATTGTATATCAACATCTGGATTGAAATGGGATTTAAGTATGTTTTATATTCTTCATCTATATTAACACAAATAATATATAAGTCATTTATTGTATCAAAGTTTAATGTGACATATTTGAGTAATTTTTCTAATTCTATTTGCATTTCTTATGCTTCAGATAATACAACTATGAAATTCGGCGATTTAGTTAGTACTTCGAATACATATGATAATTCTGAAGTGACTGTAAATACGGATACAACGGTAATTTGGACCATGGGGATAGAACCTTTCATGGAGGCTATAAATAACGAAGCAATTACTCCATCAATAGATAACAAGTAAATAAATATTTCATATTATCAAGCATACGACTGATTAAGTCAGAAATGCTCAACATTACTGCTATCTAAGGTACTCAATAATATTTTTTATTCAAATAACAGTAAATTAATTTGCCTGAAATTGACTTAGAATAGTGCAAATTTTAAATTCGATTTAGGAAATTCAATTTGGAATCATTTGCTAACTGATTGACAGATATCTATCATGAGATACTTGAGATATATGTAATTGTTACAATAATATGTTTTAATCATAGGATGAATTATTTTCGTCTACTCTATATAAGTTTTGTTTGAATAGAGTTATAATCCCTATTCTACATGAGAGAAATTGTTCATTCAAAAACATAAATTATATATAGTATTATCTAAATGGAATATCATATTTTTATTAATTGCAAATTTACAGATATTTTTTATAGTCCTTTTACAATTTACATTAAAATAGTAGAAAAATATAAGTAAAATATATTTTTATTTGTTAACAGATTGTTAAAAGATATATCAAATTGATATAATTGCGTAATAATATCAGATACTATATTATCAGGTCACTTGTTTATTAAATCTTGAATGTATAGGTTGAATATATATATAGATATGTTAAAACATCTAATAATACTGCTGCAAGATGCGAAAGTTTAACAATGAAATAAATTTTATAGTAGTCACTTTTTCATGTACATGCATATGTACCTATGCACTTGTATACATTCCTATTAAGGCATTCTTCCTTAGATTTTAATAGAAGAAATAGTTAAGGAGAATACAAAATTTATAGTTTTATAATGCTGACTTCTCTCTCTCTCCTATTTTGTTTACAAATGTGAAACCAAAGCTATGACAAACTTATATGACACTTTAATAGTTAATATAATGTATTTAAATCTGAATTAAACTAAAATTTAAGATAAAGATTTGATTTTCGTAAAAAATATTTGTTTCCTTTTATGCGGTTTTTATCGCGTATACCAGATTTTTGGTCTTTGATATATTCGTTGCCGATTTATTTTTATAAAATACAATATTTTACAAAACATAAATGCAAAAATCCTTAAAATTTTTTTAGGCATCTCTTTTAAAACTTTGTTTATATATATATATA